AACATAACAAAATTGAAAAAAGTGAAGGGGGTCTGAATACTTTCCGAATGCACTGTAAATCCTCCAGCAATACCAGTGTTATTGTAGTCTCCTTTAACCTGACAATATCCAAGAACTGTTTTGATATCGATTTTTTTATTATTGATTTATTTTGTTGATATGCCACCAGGGTCACTGTGAGTTGGGTGGCCATACAAGCTGAATAAATAAAACAGCAGCCACAGACACCAGGTGAACAAAATCTTTTACAGTGTCCATGGTGAGGGGGATATGATAAAATATGTGTTATGTGTCATGACACAAACTCTCACTTTATATACTTGCATGCAACACCATGATGTAAATGTAAAATATTGTGATACCATGATGCATATTTTGTCTTCTTGGTGTCATTATCGCTATCTGCGGATGCCTAGGTTCACCACCCACTTCATAGGAGGCAAAGTCAGTAGCAGAGAGGATCAGTGGGGTATTTACTGGCTGTTTCAGGCTGAGGTGGGCACACATCTCCTCTCAGATCCCTGGTCAGCCCAAATGCTGTAATTTTGCTCATACCCCTAAAGAGCTGGATACAGAAGAGGAAGGACAGCAAAACAGGAGGAATCAACCAATCACCTTGCTTATCACGCGCTGCACATGCAAAATCAGGACACTATTCAATAGTCAGAAAGAGGCAATAGAAGCAGGATAAGGACGTATCTATACTGTAGTTTACTGTTGATTCAAAGATGTGTGGATAGTACTTTGATTTAGCAGTGGAGAAAGGTCCTCAGTTATAAAAAGCAGTGAATTGGATGAAATGGAAGAATCCCTGAGTTACAGTTTTTCTCTCTGGCATACTGTTACTTTGCTTCTGACATTCAAAGGAAACTATGGTAAAGTTGTAGAGCTCCCAACAGAAATTCAACACAACACTTTGGAAGTAGGAACACAGAATCATATTTATTATGACTTCTTGGGAGGGGTGACCATGACGGCTCTGAGCCTTAACCATTTTTGCAACACCTGAGCTTAAAAGTGAGTTAATGTTTTGTTGTTATTACTTACTGTTATGCAAAAGTAAATTAGATATGCATATATGATTATAAAATGTAAACCATACTGGGTGCTTTGAAAGAAAGGTGGTAGATAAATGAGATACTTAGAAGATAAATGTGAATTTGTTAAAAGAAATTTGGGACTGGATATATTACTAGAAGAAACTTCCAGTGGTGTGGTCTTAAGGTGGCTCAAGAATTTTTGGGTTAAATGCCTGTTCCTCAATCCTTCTGAGTAATTGGATTCACCCTGGCAATTTACTTGAGCACCTTTGATAAGACAAGCCCTAGCCTGACATGCTATAAGGGAATCTCCCAAAGGACAGCATGGACGTATTATTTAGACCAGCCCGAATCTTATTTCAGCATACACCGCTATTCATTCTTTACTCAACTCAATATATATATATGGCTTTGTTGAATGGAATAAAGAACTAGGAGCTAACTTCAGCCTGTGGGGATGAAGCTGATGAATACACAACATGGGTGCGGTAGGAGTAACTATGAGCCACAGAGAGTGAGACATAAGCACTTTGTAAGGGAAGAGCCCTGGAGCTTTGGAATCAAGAGACAGGAAACTGCAGCTGACATTTCAGAAATGCCAGACCTAAGGGTTCCATAATCTTGGCTCAGTGTGCTACAATCATGTGGTTTAAAAGTGGAGAATAAAGAAGTTATTTTCTTTTTCCTTTCTGGTTTCTTAATCTTTCAAGAACGTTTAAAACTTTCCACTGCAACATAGCAAGGCCGAAGATGAGATCAACATTTCTGCTAATGTCAAGGGCGTCGGTCTTTTGTTTTAAACGTCCTCCTCAAACCGAACTTCACAAGAATTGCCTTCCTAAATCCTAGGGCCCTCAGAGGCGGTTGCCTGTGGCCCTTCCCAGGCAGGACAAGCAAAGATCAGACTTCGGCTTCTGTTTACGGGACACAGAAAAAGAATCTCAGGCGGGAGCCGCGGGGGCTGGCGCTAGAACGAGACTCGGCCCTCTTGGCAGGCAAATGCCACCGCCTCTTCCCCTCCCCATCCCCACTGTAGCGCGCTCTGTGGGCGCCCCTTTCGTAGTTCGGAAGGGAGCCTCCCGCAGCCAGAGGCTGGAGGAAGGAGGAGAGTCGAAGCTGAAGAGCGCCTCAGAATGAGCGAGGGAATCGCCTCGGCGGCGGGTAGGTGCTAAACTCCTGCCATGGCTATCCCTAGCGCCAGCGTCCCCAGTTGAATATTAATTGCTGCTCCCAAATAGCTGAGGAGGAAAGTGGCGCGGAAAGAGCCAACTCTTTCTTGCCCGGAATCTGGCTAGAACTGTGCTGCGTTTTCGCTGGGGCGGGCGCGCGGAGAAAGCTGGAAGGGAAAAGAGGGAGCGGCCGGGGACGAAAAAATAGGCACTCCGGAGATTTCCAGCACTTTGAGTGGCTCTTGGGAGTATTGGAAACATATGTCCTCAGCTGAACGGGTGACAGTAGCGGTTCAGGAAGGAAACTGATACTACTTTTGACTTGCAGAGAACGGGCATGGGAAAAGAGGTAGGTTAGCCCTCGGCCGGATTATTTCTGGGCTCAGGTAATCGTTTTAGACGCCAGTCGCAATTTCAGTACAATTCTGTGTAGGTAATCACTGCAGTCGCCAAAGTTACAAAATGGGATGATCCCTTGTGAGCAAAAGTGGAGTGCCGAACTCTGAAAAAAGAACATAATCCCGCGTTGCTGCATGCTGCTACTGAGCTGTTTGAATAAACCGTCCCTGTGATTCGAATACTGTAAATGATGCAAATCCTCTTGTCAGAGAACCAGCTGAATCATTTTGTTGGATCAGGGCTTCACTTGGTTTCCAGGCCTTGGGTGCTATTACTTTGTGTGAGGAACCAGGGTGACATAGAGAAGTGCTAGGTGCTGTGCAGGATACAGAAGTTAGAGGCTGGGGAGAGCATTTACAGAGACAAGGACGCCAAATGCACTGAAAACAGTGTTTAATGGTCATGCAGAGGTAGCCACTGTTTCTGCCAGAATTATTCTAGATAGCTTTGCTGAACCCACGATGTTACTTAAAGACAAAGTGTGAGCAATCATTTTGATCCACCTAGTTGCCTATTCTGTTTGGGCAGTGCTGCATGCAAAAGAACTTTTATCCAAGTATGAGAAGTTTAGAAGTGTGGTGCCAGTGGTTATCCACAAAATTCCCTGAAATGTGATGGCATTTCTGTGATAGGATTATTTGCACATATAACGTACTGTGTTCTCACAATACTCTTAAGCCAAAAGTGCACCTTGCTTGTTTGTAGCTTAGTATGTCATGTGAACCCAGCTAGTGTTGTTGTTTATAATGTAGTATAAACCAGCCAGTTATGGTTTATTCAGTATAAGCAAACCATAGCTTAATATGTATGATCCCAGCCATAGAGAATCTGTGCAAGCTTTTGTTGTTGTTATATACCCTTTTCCCTTCATTTTTGATGGAAATCTCTGGTCATCTCAGCTCCATTCTTGGGCCAATGAATCATATTGCAATTGAAACACCATCAGCTGCTCCTTTGCTAGATCTTAGGCATTACCCTAGAGCACTTACTGAAATGTTAAAGTCAAGACTTTAAGGCAAGATGTACAGGAGAAAATAGATTCTGTGGGGGCATATTAACTAGTCCTTCAAAGATATAACATAACTGAAAGAACAGCTACTTTTTCCCTTTACAGAAAGAAGAAACTGTCAGGAACCACAAAATGGTTTCATGGCTACAGTGGCACCTTTAGGCGCTATGGTGGGGATCCCGGGCTCAGGAAGAAAGAGAAAATGAATGAACTGGCAGAGGATTCTTCTGTGAGCACAATCGTCCCTATCCATCTCCAGAGAACAAGTACAAGAGGGAGATAGGAACAGCTGCAGATTTGCTTGCTGTACCCAAACAGCAGAGCTCAGTGTTCCCTTTGCTGCTTTTCAGTATCTGGTGGCATTGCAGAGACAGGAGATGTTACTATTTATTGTTTGTGTTTAATCAACTCGCCTTACCAGCAACAGCTGCTGATAGACTGCTTTTCTTTCAAAATAAACATGATGGCATTAAGGATGCTTTTCTAAAAATGTGTGTAACTACTACTTAACTAGATTAGTAGAGATGGTAAGAATGCATCTAATATATGAATAGTGGGAAATGAGATAGAACTAGGTGTATAAAGTCTATTGGATAAAGGTAATCTCATGTTAGAATAAACACACAGTTTTGTGGCATAGTAAATTGGATCTTGATCCTGGAGAGAAAGTTCAAGTTGTATATTTTCCACTTAGTTATATGCTTGGGAAAACTATTTCCGAACTTTTAGTTCTTCATCTGTAAAAAGAAACAGACAGAAGTTCTACATAACCAGATTCTTGGGAATGAATTAGAATAAAATATGTAAATTAAGGTTTAAGATTAATATTTTGTAATATTGGAATAATTGTTTAATTGCCAAATAATTGTAATTCTTAAATATTTTAAAATTAAAGCAGTATGAACTTTATCTTAAATTAATAAATAGCGGGAATGGTAATAGTAAACAAGTTATTCTGATGCTAAAGATTTTTAGCTCAATATGAGGGAAGTGAACATGATACATTATGATGCCTCATTTATTTAAAATCATAACTGCACAATACATATTTCCTTTTAAACTCTATGTCAGCCTTTCTCCCTAAGGTTCTGCAAGAAGGTTCTGTGAGAAATCTTGATTGAAAAAAAAAACACATCAATTTTTGAACTTCACAGGCCACACAATGCTGGTGCTTGCAGTAGTGGGAATTTTTACATGTTACAAGTTAGTTAGTGGCCTGCCAATTTGCTGTAGTTATAAATGTTGTAAAACGTGGATTGTGTAGGTTAGAAGTGAACTATATTGTGAAGTTTTTTGTAGTTTTGTGATACTTATGCATGGGTTCCTTGAAACCTGAAATTTATTTCAAGGGATCCTCCAGGGTAAAAGGATTGAGAAAGGCTGCTCTAAGCAGTTACCAACTAAAGTCCTTATGGTAGTGACTTTTGTCAAAGCAGTTTTAAAGTGAAAGTGTTCTATAGCCTCTTGCCCACATTTTCATTGAGTCAGAGATTATCAGCAGATAAACATACCTCAGAGATAATCTTTAGCATTTTCTGCTACTACAATGTTATACTCTGTGCAGTTTTCAAACTGAGATGTGATCTGAAATCTGACTGGTATTCCCATCTGTAAAACAGCACAATAGCCTGATTGCTGTGTAAGATTTTTCAGTAATATTTTGTTTTTTTACCAGTATACTGTGGATTAAAGTTGCTATTTAGATTAGTCAGTGCAGCCTCTGGAAAAAGGTAAATTAGATGATTTATTCTAAAGTCATCTATGAAAATATGAAATCCAGTATGGCATTTAGAATGTAATCTGAGATTCTAGAGAGAAGAGAATTGTAGAATTACAGATATTCTGGGCAGTTATATGACAGCTGTTTCCTGTCCTGGCTGTCTTATACATATGCTTAGATAAATGTGTAAGTCCTATGGGAAACCTCTGGCGCCTCAGATGAGATTCTTCCCTCTCCCCAAAACCCCACCCCTTACTTTCCTCTTTCTACAGCAAAACTTGGGGAGCAATTTAATTTGCAGACAAAAGGCAGTTATACTTTCTGTATACAGAAGGAAGCTGGAGTGATAGCTCCCTTTATTGCTCTATAGATGGAAAGGGACTATACCTTTGGATAGAAAGTGAGTGGAACAGCCTCCCTTTCTATGCTCAGAAGGGTTCTGAGAGCATTTTCAGCCTCCATCTTAGAAAGGTGAGGAATGGCAAGAAATTAATCTCCTCTCCCCCCCTCCCCCATGACATCATTGAGGCTGCCAGGTGTGTTTGTAGATGTTGGTAGTAATGGTTGTCATGATTGGGAAATAAAATATGGATCTTCAGCAAGAGTAGTTTCTGCATCTGTATTTAATGGACTATAATTAATTCAACTCAATGTGCTTAAACTAATTTAAGTGTATTTGGTTAATTTGTTTTATCTATTTATATTATTTAAAGCCCACACTGTTTAATAGTTATTATCTGTGGTTTTTTGCATAAGTTGTCTGACTGGAGAGCAGATACCATTAGTAAATAATGTAGTTTTCAACCCTTATTAAATTTCTGTTAGAAAGGATACATATTTCTTTTTTAAAATCTATTTTCCGTATATTTAGTTACAGCACATGGAAGATTAAGTGGCATCTCTTAAATATATATTTCTCCCATAACTGATACAGTGGGGCAAAACAGTATTTAGTCAGCCACCAATTGTGCAAGTTCTCCCACTTAAAAAGATGAGAGAGGCCTGTAATTTTCATCATAGGTATACCTCAACTATGAGAGACAAAATGGGGGAAAAAATCCAGAAAATCACATTGTCTGATTTTTAAAGAATTTATTTGCAAATCATGATGGAAAATAAGTATTTGGTCAATAGGTATACCTCAACTATGAGAGACAAAATGGGGGAAAAAATCCAGAAAATCACATTGTCTGATTTTTAAAGAATTTATTTGCAAATCATGATGGAAAATAAGTATTTGGTCAATAGGTATACCTCAACTATGAGAGACAAAATGGGGGAAAAAATCCAGAAAATCACATTGTCTGATTTTTAAAGAATTTATTTGCAAATCATGATGGAAAATAAGTATTTGGTCAATAGGTATACCTCAACTATGAGAGACAAAATGGGGGAAAAAATCCAGAAAATCACATTGTCTGATTTTTAAAGAATTTATTTGCAAATCATGATGGAAAATAAGTATTTGGTCAATAGGTATACCTCAACTATGAGAGACAAAATGGGGGAAAAAATCCAGAAAATCACATTGTCTGATTTTTAAAGAATTTATTTGCAAATCATGATGGAAAATAAGTATTTGGTCAATAGGTATACCTCAACTATGAGAGACAAAATGGGGGAAAAAATCCAGAAAATCACATTGTCTGATTTTTAAAGAATTTATTTGCAAATCATGATGGAAAATAAGTATTTGGTCAATAGGTATACCTCAACTATGAGAGACAAAATGGGGGAAAAAATCCAGAAAATCACATTGTCTGATTTTTAAAGAATTTATTTGCAAATCATGATGGAAAATAAGTATTTGGTCAATATTTGCAAATAAATTCTTTAAAAATCAGACAATGTGATTTTCTGGATTTTTTCCCCCATTTTGTCTCTCATAGTTGAGGTATACCTATGATGAAAATTACAGGCCTCTCTCATCTTTTTAAGTGGGAGAACTTGCACAATTGGTGGCTGACTAAATACTTTTTTGCCCCACTGTATAAACTGATAGAATGATGAGCTTGCATATTTTCTGATAAATATTCTACTTACAGGACTGTTTGTTCTTCCAACCTCCTATGAAAACCTTTGTTTACTAAAGTAGTCAGTGCAATGAAGAAGATTGGTGAATGACATTATTTCATAAACTCCATTATTCCACATTTCTGTCAGTATCCTATAATCATATATTCTAATTCCAAATAAGAACTGTATTTTAATTCAGTGTACACATACACTCGATTCAGCACAGCTAAATAGGTTCTTAGGTCTGAAGTTGGCTGAAGACTCTCAGACACATGATACAGCATGGCTAGTTAAGAATCTTTATTGCATACTAGGATAAAATCACTTGAATCAGTTGATAGCCCTCTGGCAACATAAAAGTGCAATCCTTTCTTATATCTAGAATAATTTAATTCTCACACTTTTTCCTGCCCTCTGTGAACTTTTTGCCTTGTATTTTTCAGCCTTGATGCTGGGATGAATATTGATTGTTAACATAACTAACATCTCTGCCCTGAGAAACCTTGGTTCTCAACCTAATTCCCACATTCTCCTCCTCTCCATTCTCTCCTCTCCCCTTCTATGTTTCTGCAAGGGCCAGAAACTACTACTTGTTCGTTAATCAGAGAGGTAGGAAGGGTGAAAATTTCCGCATCTCAATCCATCTTCATAGTAACTGGAGCTGCTTCTTCCAGACTCAGAATAACAGGAATGATTGACACTTCCCCTCCTATACCTTCAGTCTTGGTGCCTGAATGCAGCTAGTGAGATCCTTATAGTTTCAGAACTCTCATTCTCTCTTTTGGTGATAAATCTCTTCCAGTTTAGTTAAGTGGAGTTGAGAGGCAATGGAGAAATCTGTCTCAGCACTTCTCTCCTTGGTCATCAGACCTTCTGTTTCTTTCCCTTCTACCAACTATCCTTCCTCCTCAGAGTCAAAATTTCTGGTAGTTGCCAAAACTTTATTGTGTGATTAGTCAAGAAGTTTGGATTCATGAGAGAGATAATCACTTCTTGTTTAATTGCAAAAATAATTGCTTCAATGTCCTTTGGTAATTGATGCATTGATTTTGTAGGGTTATTGAATTCAACAAAATATTAGTTATTTGTGATTGCAATATATAGAACCACATTTTTGTGAGAAAAAAAATGGAGCTTGGTACAGAGATTACTTATGAAATTTTAAGTGTAATTGAAAAGGCATTCTAAATTCATTTATCAAGGTACATCCCACTGAACATATGGAATTTACTTCTGAGAAAAAAATGCTTAGAATTGCTTTATGATAACTATAAAGTGTTGTAGCTGAAGTCAGCTTTGAAATTGCTTATTTTGTTTACTAACAACATTTGTTATTGCAGGCATCTTCCACACCTATGAAGGAGATGGATCATTTGAACACATTACATGCCTTTATTTTCTCCATGTTATCTGAAATTCAAAGAAAGTTCGGACAAAATATTCAAGAGAAGATTGTTTCTTCTTCTTTTCATCAAATGGATTAATGTTCTTCATATCTACTTCTAACGTTACTATTGAGAGAAGAGAACAGTTGTTCATCAATACAACACTTTTAGTGTGGGGAATATTTTCTATTATCTAGAAGAAAATTATACATTATGCTGGTCATTTTAATTTTTTATATATTACTGTCTGCAATCTTTTAATACAGATTCCTGACAATGAATTGATTTTACTACATTTTTAACAAAATCACCCCAGTGCTTATATATGTATAAATATGAGATTTAAAGAGAGGTAAAGTGATTACTCTCTTAACCCATTTCAGAGTGCAACAAACTGAAATTCACATTATGGCAGCAACCTACAAACGAGTAATAACGACAGTGAATTGTTACAGCAGTGTTGTAATAGATAATCAGCTTCAAAATGTTGTGCATTATTGTACTGGGGCATGTCGAGTATTCAAACAAGGAGTTATGTGCATAGTGGCCCACCACAGTGTTTGTGCAAAACTAATTAAAGTTTCTACACCTAATTTTAGAAATTCAGATTTGACCCACAGATTTTCAGTGCCTGAAAATTCACTAGCTTTGCCTGGGGATGAAGATTATCATCAGCTCCTTCCCAGTAATCCAAAACTCAAAAAGGGGTCTTCTGTTCAAAGCACTGGAAGTCTGAAAGATATCACTGAAGAAGCCATAAATCTTGCTAGTGGAAAAATAAAAGAATTCTCATTTGAAAAACTGAGAAATTCTTCAAATCAGGCAAACTATAGAAAAGGAAGAAAAGTTAAGTCAGACCCACTCAGTAGAAGGTCACTAGATTTTGACTTGATTAATGGACATTTCAACAATGATGAAATTTTGTCCCCTCCCTATGGCCTGTTAAATAATTGTTCCCATGAAGAAAAATGGCAGGTCAGCAGCACCTCAGTAGAGGGAAATGGGAGTTCTATAGTTCCTTTGCCTATAGAAACTTTTTCTGATGGCAGTTTTATCACACAAATTTTGGAAAAGCACAAGCTGGATGGTTCTTCCAGTGGAGATATTAAGATGTGCTTAGATATCTTGCTGAAATGTTCAGAAGACTTGAAGAAGTGTACAGATATAATAAAACAATGCATTAAGAAGAAATCATCAGGTAATGTCAATAGCGGAAATAATGATTCCTTGGCCAATTCTGAAATAATCTATATGAATCTAATGACAAGATTTTCTTCTTACCTTAAACAGTTGCCTTTTGAATTTAGATATCCTGGGCTCAATAAGCCTGGTGACATGGTAGAACTGATCAACAGTTTGTCTGCTTTGGAGCAGTCCCATTTCTCCCCAATATTTGGCATTGAGCAACCACCAAGATATGAAGATGTTGTAACTTCTGCATCATCTGTGGCAAAGCAGTCTTTTACCTCTGACTTAAAAAGAATTCGGAATAACACTGATACAAATTCCTCAACCAAAATTATACAAATCCCCAATGTAGATATTTCCTCAAATGCTTTGCAGAACAATGTAGATTCTAGGAATGATTCTTGTGCACTACCTCAGTTGCAGTTTCTAAATCCATCAGACTGCATTTTTACCACAGAAACACTATATATTGTGGAAGAATCAGACAGCAAAAAAGTATTGGGAAGTGCATCAAGTGTTAAGAGTAAAAAAATATGGGAAAATTCAGAGAGCAGCCAGGAGCAAGCTGAATGGGTAAATCCTTCTGTAGAATGTACTACAACTTCACATACTATTGCACAGCCTAAATCACAGGGCCAGCTCTCCATTTCAGCAGATTCTATTGATCAAACTTTTGATTATAATGCTCAGATTTCTAAAGAAGAATCTAGAAAAAACAATCAAGAAGAGATAGACAAACTTTTGTTGGATTTGGAGAATTTTTCACAAAAAATGGAGATTACTCTGAGAGAAACTACTGCTAAGCAGAGTGATCCTAGATATTTGACAAGTAGTGGTTTAACTACTGAAAATAAAGGCAAAGTCTGTTCTCCTGAAAACAAAAGTGTGCCTTCTTCCTTATCAAAACTTGTAGAAATCAATGGTCATAAAATGGATGAGGATGACAAAACCCTTTTATTGCGTATTTTGGAGAGTATTGAAGACTTTGCCCAAGAACTAGTAGAATTCCGATTGGGCAAAGGAAGCTTATCAAAAGAGAAGGAAGTGATGCACATTCTTCAGGAAACTTTAGCCACGCCTTCCATCACAGCTGACAAGCAGAGCTACATAGATACAGTGCAGAAAAATCCTGCCTCAGCATTAATTCAACAGATGCCAGAGGTTATCAAGGTAAGATTGCAGGGTTTTTTTCACTTAACAGTTGGGCCCATTCATACAAAAATAATTTTCTATGGAAATATTGCAACATTGAAAATTATTTACATGTCACTGTATTTTCACTCTCTATAGTAGACTGGAAATCTGCTACCAGTCCAAACTTTCTATTGTGCACAAGGCAAAAATAGACATATTTTGTCATGTGTGAAAACCACCCAGAGTTGGGTGATCAATAAATTTAAATAAAAATGAAATAAAATGCATAGGTAAACCTGCTGTTACTAATTTGCAAGACACTTTGAAAATAGAAGTGCTTATATTCATGCCACTGTGAACATTACTTTTGATACAGTGTATACTGAGGCCAGTATACCATCTGGTCGAATTATATAAAAATCACTTTTCATTTATGGTCTGAAGATGTACATAAGGGGCCTAAGGATGTGGATAAGATGTTATTAGTTGTTTGGCCTAACACATAGTCTCTTGACCCCTTCCCAACATGGCTTAATTCAAGATAGCTGAAAGGGTTGACTGGGTGATCTCTGTGGTTAATAGTGCCTATTTCCAGGTTTAGCTTGTACACTACCCATACCCTTTTCTGGACAGAGACAACCTAGCTACAGTTGTTACTACCAGTAGCCTAATGTTTAGATTATTATAATGTACTCTATGTGAGGCTATGCTCGTGCTTAGTCTGGAAGCTGCAGCTGGTGCAGAATGTATATCCAGTTTGCTAAATAAGGCATCTGGCCATGCACATATTACACCTTTGTTGAAGCAACTGTGCTGGCTGACAATCAAGTACCAAACAAGACTCAAGGTTTTTGTTATGACATACAAGGCGCTAAACAAATTGGGACCAGGTTATAATAGCTCTTAGATCACATTTGCTATTATAGGCCTGGTCAGTCACTGAGAACATCAGGGGAGATTCTGTTCTGTGTACTGAGAACTGGTGAATGCCACTAGGCACTTGTTCATATATAAGCCTTTTCTATGGTGGCACCTGTACTCTGGAATGCTCTCCCTGAAATGTGTAAGATGCCTACCTCAACAATATGACCTAGTCTTAGTAAAATCAATTATGTAGTACTGTGCAGTATTAGAATAGCTGCTTGAAGTGTGATCAGCACTGCTGCAACTGAGAAAATACTTAGTTTGATATGTATACTGCAAATTGCATTGGATACACTCAATATAAATCCCTTTTCCAAAGTGATCAAAGCACTTCTGGAAATATTTTAAAGTATATTTAAAATTATTTGTAGTACAAAGAGCACGTACATATCCATTTAATCAGAAATCTTTAAAAATGCAGTTTTCTACTCTTTCTCCAAAGCAGCTTCCATGGGAGTAGGTTAGGGGGGTCCCATTATTTTATTCCTCCCTTCCACAAAGCAACCCCTTAATGTAGATTAAGCTGAGGGAATGTGATTGAGCTAAAGTCAACAGTGAACTTCCATGACTAGGGTTAATTTAGGATTAACCCTCAGTCAACTTCCATGACTGAGGGTTAATTGAACCTGGTGCTAATCTGGTCCTAATCCAGCAATTTAACCATTGCACCATATTGGTCTGTGTTGAAACTGATTTGATTAGAAAATGTTTAAAAAACAAATCTTAGTGAGGTCCTCTTGCTATAAGATGCTGTTGTGGGATTATTATTAATAGGAATTGAAATAAAAGTATGTTAACAAAAATAATATGGTGAAATCTTGGTTTAACAGACCTCCATTTATCAGATTTAGTGATCCACATTCTACCCAAATTAATGGGCAACCCTGTTGTAACCAAAGTAATATGGACAACACTGTTAGTTTTAGGCTATTTTTATGCTATTCGCAGTGATTTACACCATTCACATAATGACATCATTATACAAATAATGTAATTTGTATCAATTTATACAAACGATATAAATTTTCAATTTAAGAGACATTTAAATGTAATGGATGCTACCACCCATAGGACTTTAAAAAAAAAACTATTTTTAAATACTACAAATAATAGCAACTAAGAACAAAGCTTATATATCTCATTCTAAATTTTACAAGGAATGATATGTATTTAAAAAGCTAAACAATATAAACTAAAAAGAAAAAAGAAAGAAATTTTAAATTTAAAAAGAAAAAAGAAAAATTCCAAAAATACAGTATTTTTTCACTACTTTTCTACAGTATCAGAATTGTAATAGTATATACCTGATAATAATTACAATTCCATTTTTAAGCAACGAATTAAACCTGAATCATATGTATTCATATTATATGACCTTGTACCTCTGCCAAAAGAAAGTGATTTCAAATGCTCAGATTTGACAGAATTCATTAAACCAGCCTTCAGAGTCTGGTACACAAACATCCTTCCAGAAATACTCCCCTTTTTCATAACAATCCAGAATGATAAATTAAAAGCTCTTGCATCTGTAGACAAATTCCAAATTTTAGAAATATTACTTAACAACTCACATCTTTAAAATTTAATTTTCTCCCAAGAACCTAGTTCACCATAATAATAACATCTAACCAATAAAGAATTACCAGTGAACATGTCCACATTATATACACCAATGTTCATTCAAATCTATTATATCCCTAGCATCAAAAGGATGTCCACTCTTGTTTTTAAAACATCGACTGAAGAGTCTAATAAACACGAAAAAGATTTTTTTGACAAACCAACCATTTTTAAATAATGGTTGGTTTAAATAATTATCAGAGTAATTATCCCATTTTCAATCCAGATTTTCCAAAAAAGGAGGGGTTTCTGCCATGTTTAAATGATAATTGTTCCAAAGCATCTGTTTCTCATGAGAACTAAAATCAGTTTTTAATACTTTCCCCCAAAGGCCCAAATATGTCTAACTTTTCCTCCAATAGGTCTGTTAAATCAAGGTTTCACTTACATCTAGGATATCAAGGATGACAATTTGCATAATCAGGATTTTTTCATTCCTACATGAAATTAAATACATTTTCTGGATTTCAAGTATCAAGTTTGGTAGTTCCATTTTTGATCTAATTGAGAAAGAACACTTTTTAAAAGTTCTGATCCTAGGAAAGAGGGCTGTTTTAAGGTGCTTCAGCCTTTATCTCCTTCCAACATGGAAGGAAAATATTTAATAGCAGGATAGTTATCATATAATAATATATTTCCTTTGGACAAAATGGAACTGTTATTTTTTTTCTCCCACAAAAAAAGAAAAACTAAAAGACTTCAGCATTTTATATCATACTCTAATCAGAAAAATCTGTGCTGTTATGGTGGCACCTCACAACATAATTTTTATAGGCCTGAGCTATGGATTATGGATTTGATTTCAGTTGGGATTGGTAGCTAAGTTTGCACCTCAAATTTCACCATGGAACATCATAAAATAAGTATCTTGGAAGGTGATATATTTAGCTACCTCTGCAATAAGTCTAACTTTAGCACCACTGGTAGTAGTGGTGGATGCCTCCCTTCCCACAATACCTCTGCTCTGTTACAAGCCAAGGACAGATTGTCTCACTATCATGTAGCCAGCAGGAACACAGATTCTGGTGTAGATTATGCTTCTTGATAAAGAATTGGTAAGAGGCATCCAGAGATCTTTGTGCTTAGGAATTCTTTGAATATTGAAAAAAGAGGATTCTCTGGCCTTGGAATGAGATATAGACAATTCTTTCTGAGAATAAAAACGCAAGGTATGTTTCACTTAGAACTTCTTGAACCCCTGCCCCCTCTCACACAAACAAATCAAGAAAATAGTTGAAGTGATATCCCAAAAGGACTTTACATCTTTGCTGGGAAGAACAATTTTCTGAGGAAGTAACAAAAATGATGATCAAGGATAGATCTCTGCGAAGGGACCCTGATTTACGAGGAGAATTAGCTTTCCTTGCAAAAGGCTGTGATTTTGTTCTTCCATCCCGGTTCAAGAAGAGATTGAAGTCATTCCAGCAAGCCCAGGTTTGAATGTGCTTTACTTTTTCTTCCTATTTGTTATCTCTGTTTTAGATCAGTGGTTGGAACTGTTTGTTTGCTTAGGCTTTTCTATTTTCAGAAGGTTATTTGCACCAGATACCCATTGGTTTAAAAATAGGTCTTCCAAGCTAAGCACATAAATATCGTATTGGTAAATAAGAGGAAACAGACTAAAGGTATTTTCTTCTTGAAGGTGAACATGTTAAAATAAATACTGTTAGCTGAATATAATTACAAATTGACTTCTGTTTGTGGGGAAAAAAAGAGAAATGTTCCTGGGCATTTTTGTTGTATACATTTCCTGCAATATTTCACATGGGTGGGGGAATAAATGCTGACTATTAAAAGTAAGGTGGCTAAAGAGATTGAAGTTGTTCCCAGACAAGATCCAGTAAAGAAAAGAAAATCCAGAAAGATGCTTATAAACAGTATAAAAATAAGTGTCAAAGAAAACTAGTTTCCTGCAACTGCCCTTCATGTGGGAAAGTAAAGGAAGCAAGGACATGGGCAAAACACAATTTCATCCATACAGAGATAAGAAGCAGGGAGTTGTGAAGAGGGAGGAGTGCTCCTGGTAACAAGACCTTCATATACAAAGAGCAGGATGTAAGGACATAAGGCTTCTCAATAAATATATTTATAAATTTGTTGGTGAGATCCAGTGGCTGTCCTTTAGTTACATTGTTGGAACCTAGAAGCTTGTCTTCTGTCTTGGAAGCTTTGATTAGATACTTCTTTAAGAACTTAGAAAAATGTAGTGGTACAGTAAGGTGCAGCATTTACAAGACGTTACATACAGCTCAAGTATTTAATCATACAGGGTGAATTGTCTGTGTATAACTGGAATTTCCCACATTTCAAAATATTTTAATACTGTTGTACCTTTTTGTTGGATAAGACTGTTCTGCATATACGCAGCTTGTTTTTTTACCATAACTTTGTTTTGTTCTTTGGAAAGACTTATTTTTCTTACATTTCTTGTTCACATTTTATTGTATAAAAATAGTAATTTCATTTATTAACATTTAGGTCCAAAACAAGCAAGAGAAAAAAACAGTGACACCATCTCTAACTCCTGCAAATTCGACAATCACCTCACAGTCTCTACTGTCCACAAATAAAGTAACTGTCAGTGTTCCCTTGTCCATAAACATTCCAAGTTTCTATTTTCCTTATGGACTTCCCAATATCTGCAATAATCATGAGGAAATTATTATCAAAGTTGAAGCAGCCTTTTCAGAGTTTGAAGATAAGAAAGTTCCCTATAATGAAATGGGGAAAATTACAAAAGTAAGCATAATTATTTCCTGTATTTAAGGATTATTCAAAGCTGGGGTCTTTTTATAATATAGGCAAATAGTAATAATAATATTTTTTAAAGAATAAAGAAGTTTTTGGATGAAGTAGCTTTTATTTTGTGTTTATGGTATGAAGCCATGAATAAATGCAAATGCTGGTATCCAATAACGATACAAACTAATGTCTGAAAGGAACAAGAAGTATTGGTCATTGAGCAAACACTGCAAGAGCCTTTGTTGATTTGTATCAATTGAATTGATTTTTATCAATTTATCAATTGAATCAAGAAGGAAAAATCTGAAGATTATAGGTTTAAATTAGAACTGGAGAATGATCAGGAAAGCACTGTTCCCCAGATGAGACCAGAAGACATTTACTTGGAAAGGTACTTTTGAGTAGTAGCATAGCAGAAGAACCTGTAGATTCTGGTGCATCCTCTTGAGCAAGAAACAACAGGGTAATATGAGTTAACCCCCCCTAGATTTATCTTAACTTCACCATAGGTAAAGACTTCTAACTGTATCTTCTTATTTAAAAAATATTTTTTATTAAAAGTTTTAAGGGCAATAATAAAAACTAATACAAACTAAATTAGAACAGAGAAAATGAAAAAGAAAGAAATAACAGAAAAGGCTAAAAGTGCAATAGAAAAGAAAGAGAAAAAGAAAAAAAAAAGAGACTTCTAAACTTATCTTCAGGGGAAAATAATACTTTTTTTTACGAGCAGGACCATGGCTGGGTATTCAGTCTCATTCTGATTATAGTGATAGTGTAATGTGATTTTATATAAATTTACTACTACTACTACTAATAATAGTATTTTAATTCTATTGTCCTTATGTCAACTAGATCAATTGAATCTATCAAGAGATATTGGTAAATACAAGTTTGACCTCTTAAAACATGTCTGTGATGTATCTTTTTGATATTAAATTCTGATGCATACAAAATCACTGCTAGGTTTCTTATCTAGCAGAAGAGAAACCAGAAGTTGTTTTCATTTGTATATGAACAACAGCTTGCAGTGATACAAATTAATAAGAATGAAAATTAGCAACAAAGTTCCCTACTACTATCACTAAATAATATTTTTCCCCAGCCCACCCATGGTGACCAGTTTTAAAATACGGCACCTGCTAATAGTGATGAAGGAGATAGCTCTATATCCAGGAAAGTTATAGTGAAGAACAAACACTCAAATTTATGCAACTTAATGGAGCAGTAGTAATTAAAAAATTAAAAATGCACTGGAGAATTGAATGTTTCTCTACATTGTTGTCATATCAATGCATCACAAGTGATACAGACATCAGAACAAGTGTGTAAATCTTTCATGGTCATTAATCCATTTAAAAATGCAAAT